AGACTATATAGGACTTTCCGGGTCAATAGCAAAATGAGCCAAGAAGCACGAAGCATCAGACACGTGTGTTTTGGGAGGGAAAGTACTCTAACTGAGGGCGCCAAGTTCAAGGGCAGGTTGGGTCTAAAGAGGGGTTTTTTTTTAAATAAAAAAAAGTGTGATTTATAATTTAAAAAATAGAATAAAAAATAAAAGGGCTTTAGGTTAAAAGTTACCAAGATTTAAAGAGAAGATACAAAGATATAAAGGCCTTAGTTATCTAATAGATTCTTATTCTTGCAAGTATCTAGTATATAGTATCTTCTCTAAGATAGTATCTCCTAGTTCCCTGCTAGACTACCTCCTATATCTTCTCCTTCTTATGCTTTCTTTTTCAGTATCTACCTTTTTATTTGTTTATCCTTCTATTTCAAGCACCTTGTATGTATGTCCTTGTGATCCTTGCTACCTGTTTTCAAGACAAACAGGACCTCTGTTTACCATTTTTTTTACCAGGGAACTCAACAGATGCTTTTAGAAACTAAGCCCTGGGACTTGAACCCCTGGACTTTGGCCCCCGGATAATTATAGAAACAGTTCCTCGAAACAGTTCCCCCAGCTAGTAGGGGCTTCGACTTTAAATGGCCAGGAACTGAGAACTGGTAACTACTATAGTTCAGGGAACTGGCTACCGACCAGCTAAGAGCTCCACAGGCCAAGAGCCTAAGAGCCTAACTGGCTGGCCATTTATTTTTCCCAACTTACCATATCATATATGGTGGGTGGAGGGGTGGAGGGTGGAGGGGGGGAGTGCTATTTTTTGTTGTCTGAGAATGCGGGCAGTGCGTGGGCAGCACAACATGCGAGGCAGCAACAGAAACAGAAACCGAAACCAAAACTGAAACCGAAAGTGCAACTTGCAACCACAGTCTGACTTCGATAGGAAGTGCCTCCTGCTATAGAGTCTCTGTACTAGAAGCTCTACTGTACTTGCCGAAATTGCCTTAAGAGCTTTATGACACCTGGCATGCAATTACATGGACATTCCATTCTGGTCTCCACCATCAATTATGCAATCCAAGTGCTAAGTGGGTGGGTGTGGGGGGGACTTGGCTTTGTCTGTTAGAGTCTTTAACCCTAAGATGCTATCCCTAACTAATGCTATTAACTTAATAACTCTATCTTGTTAGTTTCCGATCAGTTATGCTGCAACAATGTTGGTAATCTAGCCTGTCTGAGGATCTAATACACTGCAAGAAATAGTAGCTATAGGCGTAGTCTGGAGTCTGGAGCATGTCTGTCTGTCCATCTGGCTCGTCTGCTTCCGGCTCAGTGCCACGCCTGCGAATGGCTTGTTGGACATAAATCATGTTGTTGTTGTTGTTGTTGTTGTTGTTGTTGACCAACAGCAGCCCACTGTCATCATCAGAGATCGTTTTGTGCCACAAAATGCTGGCCATACGCTTTTTCGTCGTCGTTTTTCAAGTCAATCCAGTTAACTTTTCTGACAGTCGAACATAAAAACTTAATTAAGCAGCCACTGGCACCGACATGGCGGCCCAGTTTTCCGATTTCGGATTCTAATTCGGATTCGATATATATATATACATATAGATAGATTTTGGGAGGCGAAAGTAATGCGGCTATGGGTCAACGGTGCGTATGCGCAATGTCTGAAAGGCTGGCTGCTGGCCAAATGGGCTACCAAGAGGGGGAGTAGCTATGCCTACGAGGGGGAGTGACCTACCAGAGAAAGGGGGGGTGTCTATAATTAACAGTGGCATCTCTTCAAAGGGAAGAGATCCCCCCCACCTTTTACTAACCTTAATTTCTCCTTCTCTAAACTTGGCTTAATTGTGTCAACACCGAAAACCAATTGGCCAGCAAATGTAGATCTCTCAATTCACCGCCCCTTGTGCCACTCTGCCACTTGCCACACTCTCTGCCACTTGCCACAAACAATTTATGGCTTTCAATTGGCATTGACAGCGATAATTGGCCGCGTGTGCCGCCGAACTAAGCCAAGTTAGTATGGAGATGTTGCTGTTTTTGCCGAGGAGGGACGGCGAGGCGTGGCAGCTAACGGGAGACTTGGCAACTTGGCGACTTGGCGACAGCACGCAGGCAGAAGCCACAGCCACAGCCAGCATCTACTAAATAATGTCCAATATATATTCGGCCATTAATCATCCTGGCCATGGCCTACAAAGGCCAGTAATGTGCAAACTTTCCAGCAAACAGCATCAGCATCAGCATCAGCACTAGTTCGATTTATGGCATCGATAACCAACATCGATGATTAAGGATTTTTTAAATTAATTATTAAGATTTAGGATTTAAAAAAAAAAACAGGAGTTTAAAAATTTATTTAAAAGAAGACTTCAAGATGTTTTAAGACTATTATTATTTACATAAGGGATGGAGATAAAGTTTGGCAACTTCTTTTGAAAAAAGGCTTTTTTTTGTTTTTGCTTCTAAAAGTTTAACATCTAAGGAATATTTTATTATTTATTTATTATAATTTATTATTATTTTATTATATTCACAAAGTTATAGTAGATTGAATAGCCGTACCTCTAACTTAGGGTTAGGTAGCTCTAACTTTGAAAACCGCTTTCCTCAAACCAGTCATTTTTTAAGTCGGTGACCAGCTTAAAGAAAAAACTACTGATCCTACTGATGCTTTTTTTTTTTGAAATTTTTGGAAACTTTTTTTTTAATTCTACATATACTACTACAACTATATATAGCCGTCGAATTTTCAAAAATCGAGACAATATTCAAAAATATTTGTACATAGTATATTCGACAAAAATGTGTCGAAAATCGTCATTTTTGTTTCAAAATGGCTTCAAAAATTTAAAAAAATCCAGAGGAGACTACAAATTTTAAACATTTAACTAAAAAAAGGTATAATAACAAGATATATAAATTCAATATTTTAATTTTTTTGGTTTCAGATGATTCAGTAATCCAGTGCTGCTTTAGGCTTCGTCACCCAACAAAAAACTTAATTATTATTAAGTTATTATTAATTAATCAGTAATTTCTCTCTATTTCTTAACAAACGATGTTTCTGGTTTTTTCTTTTAATACTTTAAATGGACCTGGGGTAATAATTTTTTCTGAAAATAGTTCTTTTTAAGAGAAAAGACACCCTACTCTTCGCTCAAGTAGAAGCTACTTTAAGCTTCTTTTAAAAAAAACTATTAGAATAAGATAATAGCGAGACAATAATCGATATAGTACCATTATCTTCTAATTCCACTTCTGTAGCCAATCAATTTTATTGTTTCTTTCAAAAAATACATAAATGGAGGTCATAAACGAAGGGTGTGAAAAAATGTTCAATTTTAATAAAATGTCTTAAACTTTGAAATGTAAAAAAATAGAAATAATTTGTTATAAAATAAATTCCTTTCTTCATTGTCTGGTATAGATATCCAAGTAGATGGTGTTAAAATTTCAAACCGATCCGTTTATTCACTTTCGAGTAATGGAGATCGAGAACCGAGAACCGAGAACCCTTCTTAGAAACAAAGTTATTCGGTCTTCTTTGAGGAACTCTGACTTGAGCTCCGAAAATATCTATCCGATTCAGTTCAAATATATATACATATATAGATATAGATTTTTTGAAAATCCAACTGCGTATAACCCCTTATGCCTAATATAAATAAAAACTGCCAACAGATTTCAATTAAAAATTTCTAAAAAAATCAGAGCCACAGTCAGCTCCCAAAATGCTTTAGTTTCCAAAACAGGAAAACCACAAGAAGTCAGTTACCAGAACCCACATTCATGCACTTAGAAAAACCCGAGGCTTGAAAACCAATTCCAATCAATATTAAGTGCTGTTTTTAATATTTGTTTTTTTTTTTTGAATATTTATCAAAAAATGGCATCTGAAATGGTACCTTTTGTTGTTTGTCGCTTTATCTCCTTATTTTTTTTCCATTTTTTGGGAAGTACAACAGTACGTATGCGCATTGTCTGGATTTTTTGTTATAATTTTGCAGATAAGTTGAGATTGTTCGGTTACATTGTTTTCTTGTTGTTGTTGTGGCTTGTTGTTGTTATGCAAATTATTGTTGAACCAACAAGAGTGTTGTGTTTCTGTTTCTGCTTGAATTTTAATTAATTATTGCGCATACGCCGGGTTGTACAGCCAAACTAAAGACTTTCACTAAAAAACAGGAGACTCCTAAAGGCTTAAATAATAATTCTAGACATCTTAACCCTTAAAGCTCTTAACCCTTAAAGAAAAGAATAGTAAAGAGTCTCGATCTTGTTGCAATGTTGCAATTAACTGAGACTCTCTCTCTCTGGGCGACATTGATTAACGGAGTGCCTAGTTAAGGCAGCACTCAAACACGCGCTGCTAATGCCTCAGATACTAACCACCAGATACAGATACAGATACATCCACTGAGATACACAATCCACAATAATCTCGGATACAAAAACAGACAATAATGGCAAATAAACGACAACAAAAGTGCAATAATATTTCTTTTATTCATTTGTTGATTTATTATTGAATGGAAAATGGAAAATGGAAAATGGAAAGTACTATATACACATCAAGTACTATTTTATTTTATTTTTATTTTTTTATTTTTTATATCCCGAACACCCTTCATTATTTATTTATTTATTTATTTTTTCAAGTTAGTCTGTTGCCCTCTGAGGGGCTACGACCTGGACTCTCTCTCTCCAGACCAGTCATCTAGTCATCCAGTCTTTGTATATTAATTCTATAGCTATATATTCTTGACCTTTTTCAAGAATTCATACTAAACTTTATAGCCTTTTTTTAATTAAAAATAGTCCTTTGTTTTAGTTTCTTGTCAAGAGCATTTACAAATCATACTATTAGTGACTAATATGACTCATCTCGGGGCCAGAATTACGCACAAAAATAGCCAAAACTGCCAGGCATTTGGAGGCTATAGAAGGCACCTCTATATGTATCGGTTAAAAATGATTCATCATCAGGGGAGGGGGGTTGGTTTACCTACATTTTAGTAGCACCACTCCAGCTGCCTGTTGGTGGGGCAGACCCAGGTTACTGTGACGACGCAATAACTGCTGTTGCTCCAAAGGGGGAGTATCCACCAGAGAGGTCTTCTTAATCAACTGAAAGGCCATTGCTAATGGTTCTCACAATAATTCACAACAATTCACAACAATTACATCACTTTACATCAGAGATCCTCCTCCTCCTCCTCCTTCTCTTTTTATTTTCAAAAATTCTTCACAAAATACAGGTGATAAGCAAACACACACAGAGAGTGCCCGCGTTTTTTTTTATGTCGGCGGTACTGGCACCGAACCGAAAAAAAAATATATAGCATGTGGCATCCGCGACAAGATCGATTCTACTGAAACCGCATCCACAACGACGTCGTGAATGGAGCCCGAAGCGCAGACCCAACAACGAAGTGAGCAAAAAAAAAATATAAAAAAAACAAAAATAAAAAAATCGAGACTAAAGCCAGCGGAGCATGGATCGCTTTGGAAAATTGAATTTTGGGTTTGGTTTTTCTGCTGCTTTCTGATGCTTGCTTTGCATGCAAAGGCCTATGGGTGGGCGGGGGAGTGCAGGCGGTCCAGGGGAGCGATAAGAAAATGGGGGAAAAGTGGAAAACGTGCTCCAAAGCCCCAAAAAACGAAAAAAAACAGCGATATTCCCCCAGAGGTGAGTAAGTAGCGCCATCACTCGGCTGGCAGAGGAAGCTAGTCAGCCAGTACAGAGCGCCACTAGCCACAGAAGGTTAAAAAAAAAAGCGCCATCTTACGTTTGAAAATGAAAACAAACTCGTGTAGAATAGAGAGAGTTGCATTTTTCTAACAATAGGAGCGCTAGAAAGCACTGCATTTACCCAACAGGTGGCTTTCACTAAAAACTTAATTAAAGCAAATTATTAAAGATTTTAGTAAGTGATTAGTAAGTTATATAATAGTAAAAGATAGTATTTAGCTGCTGAAGCTATTTATTTAGTTAATTTAGTATTAAATTCCATTACTTTGCTTAGTTTTTGGTTCTCTACATCTGTGTAAATAATTCCATGTAGATACTACTAGTGAGGTGAATATTAAATACTGGTTTTTTAAATAAAAGTTTTTATATTTTAAGTGCTAATATTTTTAAAAATATATATTCTGACTCACCCGTTAATCCTGTATCATTGATACTCGACGTGGATGTGGAGAATCCCGGCAACTTGCGCCATCCCTTTCGGCTCCAGAAGCTGCGCGCCTTGGACTCCTGGACCGGCCCCGACCCAGCCTGGCCCACTGGTCCTGGGCCTGACACCGCCGCACCACCACCCCTACCGCCCAGCTGGTTGGGTCCCGGATCCTCGGCTGCCCGTATCCTGGCACAGCTGAGAATTCTCCGGCCACACGAGGCCCGCGACAGGAAGCCACCGCCCGAGCCGGAACCGGACCCGGTGCCGGACTCGTCGTAGACAGTGGCCGCCCGCTGGAAGGAGCGACAGCTCTGGGTGGCCGCCACCGTGAGCGTGGGCGTCTGGCGGGCGCACTTGATGTGCTGCGTCTTGCTCAGCCGGAGACTGCCGATGTAGCTGGCGCCGCTGCTGCTGCCACTGAAGCCGCTGTCCAGGTCGCCACCGGCGGCGGCGGCAACGGGTCCTGGCACCTTGCCGCTCCGCTTGCTATCACAGATGTTGTCCGCCGAGGCGGAGGTCAAGCGGGCGGACAGCATGGTCGGTGGCTGACCGCTGGCCGCCGTCACACTCACACTTGGCTGCTGCTGCTTCTGGGGACTCGGCTGGGCATCCGCTGCCGAGGTGGCCGCCACTGGGGACTCCCCACCACCGGTGGGCAGCGGATCGTGCTTGGGCGGACTCTCCGGCATCAGCATGGCCTCCACGCTGAGGTTCAGCTCACCGAGGATCTTGTGGTGGCGGTTCTGCACCCGACGCAGCTCCTCCTCCACGAGGGTCTGGTTCAGCGAGCCCGCCGAGTGGGAGCCCACGGTGCTCCGCAGGTGGCCCACGGTGCTCTGGAGGGTGGCCGCGTTGATCTCCTCGTAGAAGTTCTCGCTCTGGCCCGCCTTGGTGTGACTGGTGATCTTGTGGTAGCGCGTCTGGTAGGACTGGAGGGTGGCGGGACTCACCAGCTGCTTGTTTTTCTTGCCCTTGGAGAGCAGGGCCCGGATGGAGTTGGGCGGTGGCGGGTCCGAGGAGGTCGGCGGAGCTCCTCCAGCGGCAGCAGTGGCTGCCCCCTTCTCAGGGCGTGGCACATTGGAATGCCTCATGGCTGCCCCAGGCTCATAGTAGGCGTAGGAGTAGTCATGGTGCATGTTCGGATGGTGGCCGGAATGGGTGGTCTGGCTGGTCTGCCGGCCGAGACTCTTGCTGTGCCGCGCCGCCAGCTGCTTGAGGTGGTGGGGCGATGCCTCCTGACCTCCCGGCTCGTTGCAGATCTCGATGGCGTCCGGATCCGGGTCTGGGTACCGCGGCACCTGCTGCCTCTTGCTGCCCTTCGGGGAGCCTTGGAGCGGCGGCGGGTAGTCCGGCGGTGGCGGAAACTGCAGGCAGTGCTTAGCCATGCCCCCTCCGTGCACCGCCTCCAGCTGTTGTTGTTGTTGTTGTTGCAACTTCTGCTGTTGCTGCTTCAGTCGCTGCAGTTGGGTCTGCTGTTGCGTGTAATAGTTCTGATTGGAGGGCTGCTGCTGGTGGTGATGATGGTGGTGGCTGTGGTGGTGCGTCGGTGGCTGCTGGTGATGGTGGTGCGCCTTGTGGATCAGTACCTTGCCGGTCACACCCCCCCCGTGCACCGCATGGGGCGGCGAGGAGTGAGCCGGTACGGCAGGATTGCCGCCGTTGTTGCGTCTGCTGCCCAAGCCCAGGCTCTCCATGGCACATGTTGTAGGATCTGGAAGACATAAGAGAGGGAATCATGAGAGGAGGTATGCTAGGGGCTAGGGGAACTTTGACCTCTCAAGGGGAGTAGGCAGGCAGGCCACCATCCATCCGGGTTAACCATCCCAGAATTTCCTTAAGAATTCCAGGAATTCCAGGAGTTGCTGGGCAAGATTACGATCCAGACTTTGCTGGAAAACATAATGAAGTTGACGACGATAATGCCACCAAGTTATGATTCGGAGGAGTCCTCTGCCAAGACCAAAACCAACAGAAGGTAGCAGACAGAAATTTCAATTTCTGTAATTTGATAGCCGAGAGTGTCTGTCCAGAGTCCAGAGTGCCAGGATCTGGTTCTAGCTCCATCTCCCTCTATCTCCAAGCAGTACTACTCTCCTGGTCTGGTAACCCGAGACGGGTCTGAGAACTGGACACGATCTCGTTGGCACAGCAGGTCCCCAAATTAGCGTCTAAATTTAGCTACTCAACAAATTCGAATCCCAGCAAGGGCCCAGCAAGGGGCACTAACTCTATCTATCTCTTTCTTATGTACCTAAGGCCATCTCTTTCTTTTAAAGGTCTACTGAGGCAGCTTCAAGTCCCTGTCCCTGTCCCTTGGAGGAGGAAAGGGTTTAAGGGGACTTGCAACATCAAAAACTCAAAACGCATGTCAGATACCATAAGGGTTAAAGGTAGGCGGTGGGAGTGGGAGTGGGCGGTGGGAGTGCGAGTGGGTGTGGCAGTGCATCCTGCATCTCCGCCCTTAGGGGCAGCACTTGAATAAAAACTCCCCCTTGAGAGAGAGAAGCCTCTCCTGGAACTGTGTATGCCTTCTGGACTTCCTGGAATGCCCCGCTAGTTTGCAATCTTGAGACTTCCTTCCAGTCCCACTTCCAGTCGCACTTCCAGTCCCTGCCAGCTGCCAATATTCTCTCTCACAAGTGACTTTCGCTGATCGATTGGGCGGCGATGACCCCCAAAAGGGGTAAGGAGGGGCCTGACTCTTAATTAGAAACACACGCACTTGCATTAAAGGGGGAGCCCTAGATGTTGCAACTCTGGATGTTGCATCTCTGGATGTTGTAGCTGCACAGCACACCCCATACACTGAAAGAAACTACTACCTAGAACTCCCCCCAGAAGCGTCTTTTCGCTCTCTCAAAGCCCTTTTCTCTCAGTGCCTGTTCACCCCCCGTTTTTGGAGTGGCTGCGTGGCGCGCGTGTTTCTTTTTTTGTTGTTGCCACAAGGGGGCATGCAACAAACGGCAACAACAGAAAACGCATTGCAATAATTATATGCTGAGGCAGCATCGTTGCAGCAGTCCCCGGTTGCATGTTCTTCTATCATATTTGCAATTTATGTGTCGCCAATTCACTCAGACTGAGTCGTCTCCATTTGTGGCATGTTTGAGGGGGGGTAGGGGGGCACGAGTGCGAACAAGTAATTAGAAAACATATTTTGAAATTGTTGTTTTAATGAATCCTTTTTTTTTTTAGGAATTATTATGTTGCATATACCTCCCTTTGATGCCACATGCCACATATTGATTGTAGAACTCTTATTGGTTTTGGACACTTTATTAAACTTTTTCCGGACTTGCTCCTGATATTCCACTTTTTCCGCCTCCACGGAACCAATTAAAAGGACTAACCCCCCCCTCTCCCTGGAGATCCTTTGACTTTCCTCCACTCCCCTCCACTCCCCTTCACTCCCCTCCACTGTTGTCGTCACTCGCTTTCGTTGATTGTTTGGCTTGGTGGATGACTGGGTGCATTGACTTTCCAGGGGAGGTCCTCCAGCCCCAGCTCTCTGCCAGGACCAGAACCAGCACCAGCACCCCTGTATTGTCAACAAGTGCCAGGATACAGGACTACCAGGATACAGGACTACCAGGACTAAAGCTAGCAAAGTGAAAGGAAAAAAAAAAAAAGAAATTCAAAAAAAAGGGAGGACACATGGACATGGACAGGGGGGGTCTTTATCTAACAGAGATTGAGGGGCTAGCTAGTTTCCTCCCCCTCCAAAGCTGCATCTTTACATCCTTCAGCATGATTTCCCTTCCAAAAGGCACTTCGAGAAGAGATTCCCACTTGAAGATACTTTCATTCAAAAGCAAGGTAAACCGTTTCTTTCAGTGTAGCTTAGTGCAAGGATGCTGTGTACTTAGATGGGATGTGCTTAGATATCTCTGCTGGCCCCATTCATGCCCCCGATAAGCCTCCTTTTGAGGCTCTAGCTGGTGTTCTGGACATGCTGGAGTGGCTGGAGTTTCCATTTCCCCAT